AAGAGCTTCACCAGTATTCCTGTGCTGTAGGAGGTAACACATCTCGCATGATACATGTAGTTTAATGCAAAATGATTGTTGCAGTCTGTTTGAGTGCAACCAATCTTAAATTCAGATATGATTAATTTCTGTGTTGTACAGACCATAAGGAGAGCACAGCGCTACGAAACTCTGCAATCATACTGTGTGTGTTTTTGATTCTTGCACTCATAGGAGTTCTGTGGTATAGGTCAGTAAATTTTATTTTAAGTTTTGGGAATAAAACAATTAAAAACAGTAAAATTATGAGCTAAAACAAAGAGAAATATTTAAGATTTTCCACTATTTAAGTTACAAATTAAATTAAATTGTGAAATATAATTTGATAAATACAATCTGATAATATAAATTGTAACACTAAAATGTATTAAATTTAGAAAAATCTAAAATAGTGGACTCAGACTCGGACCACATAATATGCTATATACTGTATTTAAATGGCTGTTTCTTTAAGGAGGAGAAGGTTTACCTTTTCTAAAACCCACAGGACTGAAAAGGTGGAGGAGGAGGTTCAGGTAAGGATGGCTGACACTAAATTTAATTTTACATATATTTATTTAAAAATGCTGACTTTTCTCTTGCTGGCTGTCCCCCATCAGTATGACCCGGTGCACAATAACACTGCACCCTCTGACCTCACGCAGAAAGCAGATGTCGACAATCAAGACATTCATTATTCCAGCATTAATTTTAAAACAAAACACGCATCTTCAATCCCCACTGATGAATATCCAACAAACACCACAGAAACAGAGACTGTCCACTATGCCACTGTAAGGTTCAAATAACACACTATTGCCCTCTAGGGAGCTAATCATGTTATTGCATTTGGTATATCAAAATTGTATAATTGACTATTGCCCTTGGCAACTGATTTCCTACACTGTGGTTTTCTCATGTATCACTCTTTTTAATTGCATAATAAAATAATTGCAGTACAAATCAATATTTGATGTCCATTCATTTGTTTTTTGGTAAGTAGAAATGCAACAGGCGGTATAATATGCAGTCAGATGCCTGATG